AAAAAAAAAAAAAAAAAAAGGAATGATTTTACTGCCTGTGGCAATGGCAGTGGTTTTGCTGTGCAAACCTGTGTGTGCGTGTGTGTGTGCATATGCATGTTGCTGAAAATCAAACCTGTGGCCTTGTGTACAGCTAGGCAAGTACTTTACCACTGAGCTACACCACCAGCCCTAGTTGGATTTTTTTCTCCCCTAGTTGCACACAGCTTTATCCCCAACCCTTTTAAAAGTTTTTATTTTATGACAGGGTCTGCCTAAATTGTCCAGATTGGGCTTAAGCCTATGATTTTTCTGCCTCAGCCTCCCAGAGTGCTGGGGTGATCGCATGGGTCACCATATGGGCTCCTGGGACCAGCTCCTTGTGTAGCCTGTTGTGATTTTTAAAAGTTATCGGTGAAGTCCACCCTGAAGATCTACATGTGAAATGGTATAACGTCCAGAATTTGTATTTTATAAATCCCTCAAGGGCTGGGGTTGAAGCTCAGTGCAAATGCCAGGATATATGACCGCCATGGGTGTGGCTCAGGGGTAGAACTTGCCCAGCAGGCACACAGCCTGGTGTTTATACTGCTGAAAACAGCCAAAAACCAAAACACTGTATTGTTATCTACTGTTGCATGTGTTTGGAAATACCCATAATGAAAACTAAGAATGCACAAATAAAAACTAAACTAGTTCAGCAAATGTGAGCCCCAAATCTTGATGATTTCTGAAATTGAGTGTATGTTTGAAATTAAAAAAAAAATTTTTTGCTGCAATGCCCATCAACCGAGGAATGGATAAAAAGATGTGGTCTTTTATATAATGGAGTACTATTCAGCCACAAAGAAGGATACACTGGAGACTTTTATAGGTAAATGGATGCAATTTGAGTCCATACTCATAAGTGAAATAAACCAGATGCAAATGTGTAAACATCGTATTATCTCCCTAGTATGAGAAGTGAAAGAGTAAATAAGATTTAAAGTGTACAATAGATATTGTAAAATAGGAAGAAACTTCGAAAGAAAAGAGAAACATTTAGGGGAATGGGAAAAAAAGAAGGGAAAAGTAAAAGGCAAAAATAATATGTGTATGTATATATAAAAGATAAGATAGTCATGTTATTAATTTCAGTTCATTGAAAAGATAAGTTTGTGCTAATATTGTTTGGACAATTAAATGCTGATATCTTGTACTCTTGAGTAACTAACTGAAAGATAACTGCTGGGTGTGGTGGCGCACGCCTCAAATCCCAGCGCTCATGGGGTTGAGGCAGGAGGTTGCAAGTTTGAGGGCAGCCTGGGCTACAAAGCGAGCTCAAGGCCAGCCTGAACTGCATAGTGAGACCCTGTCTCAAAAAGACAAAAAACCAAAAAACCTTTTTGAGCAGGGATGAAGCTCAGTAGCACAGCTCCTGCCCGGCAGGTGAGAGGCACTGAGTTTGATTCCTG